TGAAAAGTTAATTTAATGTTAAAACAAAAGCATATGTTACACCAAAATGTGAGGTTTAATTTGAGATAATTTATATATATACATATATATATATATATATATATATATATATATATATATATATATATATCAATCATTAATTCCACATTACTATTGGATACAACCTCAATCAAATATTTCATAAGAAAATTATTCATGTTTTTGGAACAGCTAATCCATTGGTGTACAGGAAGGTCTTATTGCAATGTTTTGGCTATTTTCATCATTTAACCATGACCACTGTGTGCATAAATGGTGTTTTTGTGCACTCTCTGCTTCATGTTGCAGCTGTTTTACATCAGATTTCAATGTGTTGCTCAGTGTATTTCTAGCGGGAAAATAAAGAGAAAAAGAGAAAGGGCTATTAATGTGTGTTATATCAAAGGACCAGAGTTGAGGTGTTGAGAGGGGACATATCATTTCATCTTCAAAGTGCTCCTCAACTGAAAGACATATCCGCCATTTACCTTCCACAGCAAAGAGAGAACAGCTGTGAGCAGAGAGAGAATATCAGCATGTGAGTGTGTGAGGAAAGAGAAAGTTCTTGTGTCTCAAGGTTTTGCTGGATGATTGATCATCTGCAGTAGTGAAAAACAGGTTACTGCAGCAGCTCCTGCATAGACTGCTCTCATTGGCTTGCTCTGCTTCTCCTCTCTCTCAGTCTCTCTCTCATACACATACAAGCCACTGCTTGTTTCCAACCTACTGCTTCTCCAGTTGCATCTTTCCCTTTCTCTTCTCTTTCTCCTCTCTCTTTCTCTTCGCTAAACCCTAGGAAACATGGAAAGACAAACCCAAGATCTTACCCGGTTCCCTTTTCTCCTTCACCCTTGCTTATGTATTTATTTGCCATCTTATTAGATTTTGAATTCTGAAAATATGCACATACATAAACAGGACAATTGCTCAGCCTACTTCAAACGTTGCACATGATGAAGACTCAGAATAGAGTGAGTAGAGAGAAAATGGCTGCAGCAAACAGGGCTATAGCTCTCCTCCCTACTGCAGCCAACACACCCTCTGACCCATTTACACGCACACACAGTCTCTGAAAGATCAAACAGGAGAATCTCATGTACATATACATATAAACGCAAACACATATACATACAGAGAGAAAACAACAAACACCTATGCGTGTACCCTTTAAAAAATACACAATGGTATGGTGTAATACAGACAATTTCGACAATTTTTTATTTTGAATATTTATATTCGGTCTGCCAACTTCTCTTTGCTATATCATCAAATATGCAAATAATAATTTATAAAAATTGACAATTAACATAATAAAAAAATTATAATAATAGCATTTTATAATAAACTAGCATTTTATATGTATATATTTTAGTTGACAATGTACTAATAAGACTTGTGTCTTTAGGTTGCACATCTATCCTGTTACCATCATATTGTCCCTTTTAAAATAATTATACACTTACTATACATATTTTCACTTCATATTTTATTTTGTTAGGTTTTACATAATTGGACGAGCTTAATATGCCAAAACTACAATAATGACATTGTACAGTAAAATTTGGTCATTCAAAAGTAGAAATTTGCAAAAATATCAGCTTTCAATTCTCTACGATACACCTTGTAATTTCACCTTGAGCACAAGGCTTATAATGTCAATCCTGTTAGAATCAACCCTGTTTTCTCATAATTATAAGCCCTTGTTAATGTTATATTAACCTATTAAAATTTACCTCAAGTAGCTATTAATCACATTTATTTGTCTAACTAAACGTTTAAAATCTTACAAAAGTTTACTGAAAAAGGCACTTGGTTCTTAGAATAACTGCACAAAAAACTCACTAAACACACCTACATGCACTTCTACCCCTCTTCAGTACAACTCAGAATATGACAGAGCTGAGAATCAATTTTCACAACACCCACCATGCGTTAAACTACCAATAACAACGCATGAGATCCAGCAGTTCTGTGTTAGTAATCATGCTAACTGAGCTACAATGGTTGCTCAATCAAGCTTGTGGATTTTAGGTCAAGTGGCAATATCTGCCTGAGCCAACCTTTTAGCACCTCTCCTTTCAGTCCTAGTTCTCTAAATTACAAACTAAATTGGATATGTGAGCGAATTTGATGTACGCAGAGATGGATGGAAAGGCTATAACATGCATGCTGGAGAAGTAATGTACTGCAAGATGATAGGCAGTGCAGACAGACATTATAACACTATAGATTCAATTTCACAGTATTTTTTCAGAAACATACAATACCATTCAAGAGTTTCAGGTAAGACATTAAATTGACAGAAAAATCCTGTTCTTTTGTACTTTCTATTTCTTTAATTTCAGTATTTATAAATGTTTCTTGAGCACCAAATCAGCATATTATAATCGATCATGTGACACTGAAGACTGGAGTAATGAAAATTCAGCTTTGCCATCACAGGTTGAAATTACATTTTAAAATATATTACAATAGAAAAGTTATTTCAAATGGAAATAATATTTTACAACATCACTCTTTTTACTGTATGTTTCATTAAAAAAAAATGCAACCTTTGTGAGCATAATTGACATCTTTAAAATATTAATAAAGAACCTTAACTGCCCTAAACTTTTGAACGATTATCATTATCATCAGATGCAGATCAGGAAACTCAGAATTTTGACTAACGTTTTGGCAAAGTTATCAACAAACATTCTCCAAAGTAACGTTAATAGAATGTTATCTGCTCTTTAAAAAAGTTCTCAAAACGTTAGCACATATGTGTTTATATTTATAGAACAAAGAAAAAAAACTATTTCATAACTATTCTAGAATCTGAGCCTCAGTATTGGCATCCACCGTTCTGATTATCTTAAAAGTGCAACATCAACTTAAACGTAAAAGACTGTTCACGCCAAATTCAGGGCTACTAAACAATAAGTAAATACATTTTCAAACAAAACTCTTCGCATAGTTTTCACACAGACCAGTCCATTACTGAATTTTCGTTATTCTCTTGAAATGGTTTGGATACCTGAATGAATGCCCTATTAAAATAATCATAAAAAATATCTGGCCATTCAAAAAATAAAGGAATTCCCTTTCAAGGGAACTCGAGCTGCATCAAGACGCTGTGGGAACGCCCCTGCGTGATTGTGTCATGAAGCACATTTAGAATTAGTCCCATGGTGTGACGAGACGTCATAGGCGGGTGACGTCACAGACCAGGAAACTATAAAGCTTACCCATAAACAGACCGTGCTAGCTTCTGTGTCTTCAGCAAGCGCTCTCTGCGATACGGTCTCAGTCTATTTGATGTTGTTTTGTCATTGCACAATCACTATATATATATATGCACATATATATATATATATATATATATATATATATATATATATATATATATATATATATATATATATACAAATTAGTCCTGTAGTAGAAAACGTTGTGGCACCAAGATAGGCTACCATGAAGGGGGCCCTTAGGTTTGCGACAGCCCCAGGGCCCTATGTGGTTTCAATCCAGGCTTGGATGAGAATACAACTTATTAAAATAAAACAAAGATGTGTTTTGTGCATTACATTGTTCTGTTAATTATATTGTTCATGTTTTTAAATAAGTATACTGCAAGCTCGACATGCCATTATAAGGCAAAAGCAAATCTAGCTGTCTCTAACCATCAGATTTTCTTGTTATACTCTTCCTTCCTCCTTTGCAAAAATCATGATTGTCTACAGCCCTGTGCTGTCCAATCATTCTTCCTTCTGTATGGTTCTCTTTTTTTCTGTCAAACTCTCTCTAGTGACATTTGTAGTGTGTCCTCACCGCTTGTATCCACAGTGCTGCTCTGATCTTAGCTCACCATGAGCTCATTAGGTCAGGAGAAAAACATCACTCGCCATGCGGTTACACCTCACATACACTCACGTCTACACAAACACATGCAGATTTCACGTAAAATAAACCAAACTGACAAAAGCATTCACCCATAAACCCCTTTAAAAACAGAACATAACAGAAGGCAATATTTCAAATGGCTTGTTTATATATTTAAAATACCAACACAGACATTTAAAAGAGCTTGCTGGGTAAATTCACTAAACAGTTGCACCACTTTTACACCTGTGTTTTATTCACTAGCCACCCTTAATCCAGTTTAACCAGGCATTATCTAAGCTTTCATGTAGCTCAAACAAGCTTTCCTGTAGCTCAAACAGTAGAGCATCTACACTTGCAACGCTAAGGTCATGGGTTCAATTCCCAGGGAAAGCAAGCACTGATAAGAATATAAATATGTACCTTGAAATGCAATAAGTCGCTTTGAATAAAAGCGTCTGCCAAATGTAAATGTGAAATCTGCATCAGGTGTATTAAAATTAAGTCTTTGTCATTCTTTTCAGCACAAACACACCTTTTTCTATGCTAAATATGATCATTTTAGAGTGCCTAAGTCAGTGATATCTGCCTGGTGCAATTATTGCTATTACTGCTCATAAAAAGCATGTGGCAGCGACAGCAAAAGTACTTCACAGTAAAACAGTAACAACAATGAACCCTTTTCACAGACTGTGATGATGCATTTCCACAGTTATCAACATCGCAAATGTAGTAAAGTTATTTATTATTATTATTATTATTATAACGCTATACTTTGTGTTATAGTACCTTGGCATTAAAGTACAAAACATGATCCCAGGAAATGTGGAAAGGGTCCATACCAACTTTTCTGCAGTATAGGTACCAATACAATGCTTTCAAATACTGTCATATTTGAAAGATGATCTCTGAATATCGATACAGAACTTATTTCTTAAAAAAATTAGAGTGCTACAGGTTTTTGTTGTGACATTGAAATTGGTGAGGAGAATTTAGAAATTTCCCTTAGTATTGGATTTGCATAATTGAGTCGGGTGCTAAAACTGTGCAGTGTGACAAACAACTGTATCAGTGGGTGCAATTTATTTTTAGTGAATGCAGATGTGTTTGTTCTGACTTACCCAGTAAGCACCACTACAAAGTCCATGACATTCCAGCCATTACGTAGGTAAGAGCCCTTGTGGAAGGCAAAGCCCAGGGCCAAGATCTTAATGCCTGACTCGAAACAGAAAATGCCGATGAAGTAAGGTTCTGTATCCTCCTGTGAGAGAGAAGACAAAGGAATGGACAAAGAGAAACAAGAGTGTGTAAACAGGAATCAACCACTGGATTTCTTTAAAAAAAATTATTTCAGAGACACAATTAGTTATCGTGTTTTCTGTAGTTATGTAGATTCTGGTATTACAGTGTACTGAAACAAAGAAACACTGATAAACACAACTGCAACTCACCAAGCGCTCTGACATAGGTGTCTTGTCCCCATCTGGAAGGTGTTGTTCCAGGGCTAGGACAATGCAGTTAGCGATGATGGTAGCCAGGATCATGTACTCAAATGGAGTGAGAATCACAGGTCAAGGAAAACTCTTAAAACAACATGAATGCTACAACAGTTAAATACCCCTTTCAAAATATGTGGGTTTGTAGAAATTGCTTTTAGTTTATGTATGATATAGACATAAGACAAAATATAAATAATAAACGCATATTTATAATTTCATATTTAAAACTTTAACATTACATTAAATAACATTTAAAATGAATATAATAAGATATAATAATAATATAAAAGGAAGCAACACACAATATAACTATAATATATACAAATTGGAAAAGGATAATTGTAAATTTAGTTATAATTTTGTATTGTGGAATAAGCTATGTAAATATGTTTTGAGGCTTCTTGAGAGCAGCACTAAATTAAAAAAGTTTTATGATCTTATTTTTAAGATTTAATCCCTTTATTTTTCGAAAATGCTAAACATCTTACATACACTTCAACGGGTATGTAAACTTATGAGCCAAAGACTCTCTGAACATCAGTGAAGAATCAATACATCTGATTCTGAGAGGGCAGACATTCAAACAGTCGCCCTAAATTGATTACTAAGCAAAATCATATTAAGCGCCTTGTGCTAAATACAGGTCAAGTCAAATACACCAGTGATTTTGCTGAGTTCAACTGAGAATCAAGTCCCACCTCACTTTGAAACTGCTTCAAATAGTAAATGTAACATCATGCTCACCATGCATGGGCCAAACAACATCTCACATCATCTCCTTCTGCGGCTGGCTGAGCCTGTGGCAAATAAGCTGCTATTCATGCTGAAGTAACACACGCAGTGGATGAGTATGAGTCAGGCAGATTCTGTATGCTTTAAATGACCTCATCACTCGCCACTGGTATTTACTGCAGGCCAATTTGTGTATGTGTGCATGTGTGTTGAGAGTCAGTTTGAGCTTAGAAGGTTAGAGCCGCCTTTGTGATTCAAAGTGACATGCCTCTTTGGCTCACTAAACACAAGAACTTAAGGGTGGGTAGGATACGACTATCAGGACGGTCACACACACACAAGCTCTGTTTCAAAACCTAGTGAGCTGCCAATGCAGGCGGCAATTTAAAGTCGACAAATTATTTATTCTATATTGTGACATACATCTGTGTGAAACGGATTATCGAAAAAGAAAAAAATACAGGCTTTCTATCCACTGGTTGTTGATTGGATGGAGGCTGATCTAATTGTGTGCTTGCCATTGTTTGTGCTAAACATATGCACAGATGATTAATTTACAATAAGATCAATACCATGCATTTAGAGAATAAATAGAGTGAATTTTAATTAATCGTAGACTCACTCCCAATGCAAAGGCTCCTCCACTCGTTTTGGGCTAATTCTAAGGCAGAATAGCATGCATCCTTCATGACTACATAACATAATCCCAGAAGGCTTTGCTATGAGCTCAGTGCAAAAATAATTCCAGAGAGAAATATCAATAAAAATGATAATTCAATACCAACAACTACCTAATTAAAAACTGAATTTTTATTTATGAGTAGTGTATTTTTATGCCTTTTTTTCTTTTTATCTTATACTGTAGGCTGACTGTTAGCAAAGCAACAAGCTAATGGCACATTAAAGGGATATTTCACCACCAGTGTTGGGGAGTAACTAGTTCCCTTTCGTAGTCACTCCGAGTTACGTCGGATGACGGAGAATGGGGGTTTCGCCAGAAAGCCTATCATCTTCGAGTATTAAAAAACGAGCCAATGGCAAGAAATGCCATGGGGCTGCGGAATTTGCATAATGTATCTCCGCCTCACCGCGTGAGTATTTAAGGAGAGACACCTGCAACAGCAGATCATGTTTTCGCTTCGGAGCCAAGAGCATCTCTTCACTCCACAAGCCAAATCCTGAGTTTCTTCAGTGACTTCATCTCTTCGAGACGAGCGAGCTCTCCGGTGTTGGTGTGACGGCGGTATCCAGCGAGTTTCACATTGCCTGCGATCTGAGCAGTGGTCTGCCAGTCTGTGTGTTCTCCCTGGTCGCTTCAACATCCGCGGAGTTTTTTTCTCTCACTAAAGAGCTGCACGCGGCACGTCTTTTTAAAGACGCGTCTTTCTAAGACGATCTGCCCGTGTATTTCTGAGTGTGGTATTCTGATAGATTCAGCTGATGGGCGCGAGCGCTGTTTGAGTGTTTGGGCGCGCTCAGACAGCGCTCGTGGGTGTGTCACGTTCTCTCACTGGGAACGTGACCATCGCAATGTAACGGTCGAGACTCGATGAGCTCTTTAGAGTGAGAGTCCCCTCATCCACACCCCAATCTATTTTTCTCCACGTGAGATAATACTTCGGCTGGTGGCCAGGGTGACCTAAGACTGCCGTCTTAGGTCACCCTGGCCACCAGCCGAAGTATTATCTCACGTGGAGAAAAATAGATCGGGGTGTGGATGAGGGGACTCTCACTCTAAAGAGTTCCGAAGTTTGGAACTAAGCCGACGAAAATCCCTCGGTCCACACCCCGTCTTTCACATTGCAACCCGCGTGGTCCCGGGTGAGTTCACCGGCCCGCCCGCGGGCCCGCGGTCTCATTCGGTCCCCCGGCTGATGAAATCATGTATATCACCGCATCACAAGGTGAGCTGGAGTCCTCTAGAGATGATGGCTCGTCTGTGCTGCCGTCCTCGGATGTGCTAGCATAACGAGTTTGATCCAGAGTGCACAGCTATGCTTCCCGGGCTGCCGCGAGTATCGGGCTTGTGTGGAACCTTCTGCCATGTCCTGAGCACTTAAGGCTGATGATTGGTTTTTGGGGGTGGCGAACCCAAATCCTTTCTACCCGGACGTGCATGAAGAGATCATGAGATCTTGGAAGTCTCTTTTGACTTTTCGCGACTGCTCAGTGGCCTCTTCCGCCTTCTCTGCCCTTGTAGAGGCCGCGGCCTAGGGTACACTGGGGTTCCCCCTGTGGAGTGTTCTGTGGCAACACTTATGTGTCCCCACAGCGCCTCCACCTGGCGTGGCGACCCTAAGCACCCCTCCAATGCCTGTAGGTTCTTGTCTACTCCGGTGGCGGGGACCTATAGAGCTGCGGGGCAGGCTGCCACCTCACTGCGTGTTATTGCCATCCTTCTGGGTGTTCAATGACATGCACGAGGGTAGGGCTGATTCAGGGCTCATCCTTGAGCTGCCTGCCGTCACCGACCTTGCTCTACGAGCGACGTAGGTGACCGCACGCTCCCTGAGTCAGGTGATGTCCACATAGGTGGTCAGACATCTCTGGCTAACCTGGTTGATGTGCGCGAGGCTGAGTGAATACGTTTCCTCAACTCCCCCATATCCCAGGCTGGCCTCTTCGGCGGCGCGGTCGAGGACTCTGCCCAACAGTTCTCGGCCGCCCAGAAGTGGACTGTGGCTATTTGTCTGACCCCGTGGCTCTGCTGCCTCCAGCCGCCGGCTCAGACGCCTCAGTCCGCTTGCTGCCGAATGCGCCCTCCTGCGACTTCCGCCCCCTCCCGCCCGGCCCCCAGCAGCACCGGGCCGCGCCGTGGAGTTGGTCGCAGGAAGGCGCCCCTGCCCGTACCAGCCCCGCAGCCCCGCTAACGCCAGGCTTGCGGCGCTCCCGTTACGGGCAGCTCAGATGTGGGTTGCAGTTCTTCAGGGAGTGGTTGCAGGGCCACTCCTTCCCCCGGTGGAGGGCTGGGGGAGAATCTTTTCCAATCTAAACCAAAGAGCTGCATCCTATCTCTGAGCCCTCAGAGGGCCGGACGACAGTGCGCGACGCTCCCGGGCCTCGCCGCTCTCGTCCCCCTCTGTCTCTGAGGGCGCGGATGACAGTGTGTGCCGTCTCCGGACCACACCACTCTCGTCCCCCTCTGTCGCCAGACCCCTGGCAGAGCAGACCCCCGTGGAACGCTGGTCCTTCCCTGGTCTCCTCTGTCAGGACGCGGAGTATGACCGTGCCCCCGCACCGGGCCGCTATGCCACCCACGCCTGGGCCGGTCACTCCGCTTCGCTGCCCCTCCGGGGGGACGTCTGTGGTTCGGATGATTCCGCTGGTTCAGTTCTTGGGAGCTTGGTTAGAGCTTCCCAACCTGTCCCACTGGGTCGCCCGAACTATCAGGCTCGGCTATGCGATCCAATTCGCACGGTCTCCTCCCCGCTTCAGGGGAGTCCGTTTACTATGGTCGGTGGCAATGCCCCTATCATGAGAGCGGAGGTTGCCACCCTGCTGGCGAAGGGTGCAATCGAGACTGTCCCTCCAGCCGAAATGAGGTCAGGGTTTTACAGCCCGTACTTCATTGTCCCCAAGAAGACCGGTGGGTTACGGCCAATCCTGGATCTGCGCGTCTGAGCCGCTCCCTTCACAGGCTGCCGTTCAAGGTGCTCACGGCCAAACGCATTTTAGAATGTGTGCGGCCACAGGATTGGTTTGCAGCGATAGACCTGAAGGACGCCTACTTTCATGTCTCCATTTTACCTCGACACAGACCGTTTCTTCGGTTTGCTTTCGAGGGGCAGGCATACCAGTACGCGGTTCTCCCATTCGGGTTGGCTCTGTCTCCTCGCGTCTTTACGAAGGTCGTCGAGGCAGCCCTTGTTCCCCTACGCGAACACGGGGTTCGCATCCTGAATTATCTCGACGACTGGCTAATATTAGCTCACTCTCGAGATCAGGTTTGCGAACACAGAGACCTTGTGCTCCGGCACCTAGCCCGTCTGGGCCTTCGGGTCAACTGGGAGAAGAGCAAACTTTGCCCCGTGCAGAGGATCTCTTTTCTCGGTATGGAGATAGACTCGGTCGCCATGTCCGCGCAGCTTACGAGCGAGCGCGCACACTCACTGCTGACTTGTCTTCGACAGTTCGAGGGCAAGAGTGTGGTCCCACTGAAACTTTTTCAGAGGCTCCTGGGGCATATGGCATCCGCAGCCGCGGCAACGCCACTCGGATTGCTTCATATGAGACCGCTTCAGCTGTGGCTTCGCGATCGGGTCCCGAGGTGGGCATGGCATCGCGGTACGCTCAGAGTTCCAATAACTCCGACCTGCCGTCAGACCTT